GGTTCTTGGAAAAGATAAACAAGATTGATGAATCCTTACCTAGACCCACAAAGAAACAGAGAAAACCCAAATACACAAAATCAGAAATGAAAGAGAAGAAATAATAACTGACACCACAGAAATACAACGGATTGTTAACAAATATTATGAACAATTATACGGGAACAAATCTCACAATCTAAGCAAAATGGACCAATTTCTAGAAACACATAGTCTCCCAGGACTGAAGCGGGAAGAGATAGAAAACTTGAACAAAAGAAATTGAATGGAATTAAGACTCTCCCAGCAAACAAAAACCCAGGCCCGGACAGCTTCACGAGAAAATTTTACCAAACATTCAAAGAACTAATACCATTCTCCTCAAACTATTTAAAACATTCAAGAAGAAGGAAGACTTCCAAACTCGTTTTATGAGGCCAGCGTAAATCTAATTCCAAAACTAGAAAAAGACACTACAAAGAAAGAAAACTACAGGCTAATATCCCTGATAAACATAGACGCCAAAATCCTAAACAAAATACTACCAAATCGAATCCAGCAATACTAATACTTCAAAAAAATTATTCACCATGACCAAGTGGGATTCATCCCAACGATGCAAGGCTGGCACAATATTCGCAAATCAATAAATGTGATACACCCCATAAACAAAATGAAAGATAAAAATGATATGATCATATCAATAGATGCTGAAAAAGCATGCGACAAAACCCAGCACCCATTTCTGATCAAAAAAAATGCTCAGCTATCTGGGAATAGAGGGATCATATCTCAACATAATAAACGCCATATATGAAAGATCTACAGCCAACATCATACTCAATGGGCAAAAACTAAAAGCATTTCCCTTAGGAACAGGAACCAGACAAGAATGCCCACTTTTGCCACTCTTATTTAACATAGTACTGGAAGTCTTAGCCACAGAAATCAGACAGGAAAAAAAATAAAAGGGATCCAAATTGGAAAAGAGGAAGTGAAACTGTCATTATTTGCAGATGACATGATACTATACATAGAAAACCCCAAAGACTCCATCAAAAATTTACTAGACTTAATAAATGAATTTGGAAAAGTAGCAGGATACAAAATTAACGTCAAAAAATTGACGGCATTCTTATACACCAATGATGAACTCACAGAAAGAGAAACTAAAAAAAAAAACAATTCTATTTACCATCATAGCAAAAAAATTAAGATACCTAAGAATAAACTTAACCAAAGAAATAAAGGACACAATGGAGTACTATGCAAGCTGTAAGAAAGAAAGATCTCTTATCCTTTGAGACTACATGGAGGGACCTGGAAAGTATTATCCTAAGTGAAACAAGCCAAAAGGAGAAAGACAAGTATCATATGATCTCACTTATTTGTGGAATATAATGAACATAACAATCTGAGGAATGGGGTAGTCCCAGAGATGTGGAGTGGGTTACAGACTGACAATCCCCTAAAGAGGGAGGTGGTGGGGGAGAGATAAACCACAGAATTTATATGCATGTATGCATGAACAATGGACAACACACCTGGTGGCAGGGCGGGGAGGATGGGGAAGGGGGAATCAATGGGGGAAAAAGGAGAAACATCTAGAACAAAAATATATAAATTTTAAAATATAAATAATAGATAAATAAATAAATAAATAAATAAATATAAATAAAAGGGACCAAATTGGAAAATAGGAAGTAAAACTTGCGTTATTTGCAGACGACATGATACTGAACATAGAAAACCCTGAAAATTCCATCAAAAATCTATTAGACTTAATAAATGAATTTGGCAAAGTAGCAGGATACAAAATTAACATCAAGAAGTCGAGCCCTGGCCAGTTCGGCTCAGCGGTTAGAGCATGGGCTTATGGTCCAGAGAGACCCGGGTTCGGTGTCCGCTAAGGGTACGTACCTCGGTTGCAGTTTGTCCCCGGCCCTGGCTGGGTCGTGCGGGTGGCAGCCACTCGATGTGTCCCTTTCATGTCAATGTTTCTCTCTCTCTCTCCCTCTCACTCTAGCTGAACAAAAGATGGAAAAATGTCCTCAGGTGAGGATAAAAAATAAACGAAAAGAAGTCGACGTCATTCTTATACATCAACAATGAACTCACAGAAAGAGAAACTAAAAAAACAATCCCATTTACCATTGCAGCAAAAAAACTAAGATACCTAGGAATAAACTTAATCAAAGAAGAAAAGGACCTGTTCTGAGAAAACTATAGGATATTGAAAAAAGAAATAGAGAAAGATATAAAAAAGTAAAAGCATATTCCCTGTTCATGCATTGGAAGATTTAACATCATTAAAAGGGCCATTCTACCCAAAGCAATCTATAGATTGAATGCAATCCCCATTAAAATACCAATGACATATTTCATGGAACCAGACCAAATATCCCAAAAGTTTATATGGAACCAAAAAAGACCCCAAATAGCCACAGCAATCTTGAAAAAGAAGAACAAAGTAGCAGGAATCACAATACCAGATATCATTTTATACTACAAAGCCACTGTAATGAAAACAGCCTGGTAATGGCATAAGAACAGATCAGTGGAGCAGAACAGAGAACCCAAAAATTGACCCAAGACATTATACTCAACTAATATTTGACAAAGATGGCAAAAGCATACACACTGGATTAAAGACAGCCTCTCTAATAAATGGTGTTGGGGAAATTGGACAGCTACTTGCAAAAAAATGAAGGTACACCACCAACTTACACCATATATAAGAATAAACTCAAAATGGATAAAACACTTAAATGTAATTCGTGAATACATAAAATCCTAGAAGAAAATACAGGCAACAAAATTTTAGAAACCACACGCAGCAGAAATTTCACTTAGGCATTGTGCCTAAGGCAAGAGAAACAAAGGAATAAATGAATAAATGGGACTACATGAAACAAAAAAGCTCTGCACAGGAAAACAAGCATCAAAATAGAAAAGGGCCCTGAACGCTTTGGCACAGCAGTCCAGAGAGACTCGGGTTCAGTTCCCGCTAAGAACACGTACCTCGGTTGCAGTTTGTCCCCGGCCCTGGTTGGGTCGTGAAGGTGGCAGCCACTCAATGTGTCCCTTTCACGTCGATGTTTCTCTTTCTCTCTCTCTTTCTCTCTCTCTTTCTCTCTCTCTCTCTCTCTCTCCCACTCTATCTGAACAAAAAATATCCTCGGGTGAGGATAAAAAAAAAAAATAGAAAGGGAAATCGCTATATGGGAGAGCATAATTGCCAACAACACTTACGATAAGGGTTAATTTCCAAAATACAGAGTATTCATACAACTCAACAAAAGACAAATAATTCAATTAAATGGGCAGAGGGCCTAAACAGACACCTCTCCAAACAGGACATACAAATGGCTAAGAGACATGAAGAAATGCTCATCATCACTAATCATCAGAGAGACGCAAATTAAAACAACTGTGAGGTATCACCTCACACCTGTCAGAATGGCCGCCATCAACAAATCATCAAACAAGTGTTGACGAGGGTGTGGAGAAAAGTACACTGTTGGTGGGAATGCAGACTGGTGCAGCCACTGTAGAAAACACTATGGTGTTACCTCGAAAAGTTAAAAATTGAACTGCCATTTGACCCAGTGATCCCACTTGTAGGCATACACCCTAAGAAACCTGAAACACCAATCAGAAAGAATTTATGTACCCCCATGTTCATAGCAGCACTATTTACAATAGCTAAGATCTGAAAACAACCCAAATGTCTATCAGTATATGAGTGGATAAAAAAGCTGTGGTACAGGTACACAAGGGAGTACTATGCAGCTGTAAGAAAAAGAGATCTCTTATCCTTTGAGATGACATGGAGGGACCTGGAGAGTATTATGCTAAGTGAAACAAGCCAAGCAGAGAAAGACAAATATCACATGATCTCACTTATTTGTGGAATATAATGTACTAAACAAACTGATGAACAAAATTAACCCAGAGACATAAAGGTAGGGTACAGACTGACAAACCTTAGAGGAGAGGGTGTTGGGGGGAGGGGAGGGAAATCAACCACAGAACTTATATGCATGTATGCATACCCAATGGACATAGACAACAAAACTGGGGATGGGGCAAGGGGGATGGGGAGGAGGGTGTCAATGGGGGGAAAAGGAGAATCATCTGTAACAAAAACAAATTAATAATAAAAAAATTTTTTTAATAAAATAAAAATAAAAATGAATGAAATCTTACCATTTGTGATATCATGGATGGAACTAGAGGGTATTATGCTAAGTGAAATAAGTCAGTCAGAGAAAGACAAATACAATATGATTTAACTTGTATGGGGAATCTAAAGAACAATATAAACAAACAAAAATGTAAAGAGACTCACAGATACAGAGAATAGACTGATTGCCAGATGGGAGGAGGTAGGTTGGGGGACTGAGTGAAAAAGGTAAAGTGATTAATGAAGTACAAATTGGTAGTTATAATAAAATAGTCATGGGGATGTAAAGTACAGCATTGGGAATATAGTCAATAATACTGTAATAATTATGTATGTTGTCCAATGAAATTGGAAATATTAGGGAGAACACTTTGTAAAGTGTATGATTGTCTAACCACTGTGAAGAAAAAAATAAAATGTAAAATTCATGTGTGTGTGTGTGTGTGTGTGTGTGTATGTGTATGTGTTCAAAGAATAGTACATCTTATCCTTAACCTGCCTAAATCTTTTTGAACTTGAGATCATTTACTGTTGCAGGTTAGAACTGTTCCCCACAGTACTTCCACTTCCTATTATTGAATATTAGACAATGCTGGGATAATATCAAAACCCAATTATAGTCGTACAAAGAGATGGAAGAACAAGCAGCCAAATCATCACACTGCCCCAGCTATAGAGAGACACAGATGGAATTCATCAAGTGTATAAACTCACAAGCGTGGCAGCAAATACAAACAAGAAACAGAAAGATTTGGAGTTTGAAGTCTGCTCAAGAGGGAATTTTACCACATTTGTTCATGACACTTTACAACTCGTGAGGAAGATTTACACCAACCTTCACTTTTCCCTCTTCCAATTGAGCTTGGCGAAATCTTGCTAAGGCCGTCCTACCAGAAAGAGAGAAGATTCCATTAGATTCTGCTCAGAGCTCACAGACTTCTTATCATCCAAGTTCCTGGATAGGATAAATCTGCTCATGACCATATTTAACATCATTCTCGTGTGTGTGTGTGTGTGTGTGTGTGTGTGACTAAGAAACCACAGAGAGCCCTAACTGGGTATCTCAGTTGGTTAGAGCATCGTTCTGATATGCCAAGGTTGTGGGTTCAATCCCCAGTCAGGGCACATACAAGAAGCAACCAGTGAATGTATAAATAAGTGGAACAACAAATCAATGTTTCTCTCGCTCTCCTCCCTTCCGCTCTCTCTCTCAAATCAATAAAAATATTTTTTTAAAAATAAACCACAGAAAAATTATGTGTTTCCAAGTTCCAAAGAGTGGAACTTATAAGGCCATGTGTGTTCCTGAACACCCAAATATCTATTTTATTTTCACTCCATGTAAAGACTGTGGGACACTCTACTTATCAGACCACTGTGGTGAGCAACACATCCACAATTTAAAGACTAATATCTTGGAGTACCCCAGCTGTCACTCTCATAGCCCCTGGGCCATCCCCAGGTGAATGAAGGTTAGTTAATCCGGAAAAAGTTCTGAGAGCTGTCAGAAAACTCTAATGGAGAAAACAAATGGGGAAAGATGGGAATACTATTTTAAAACATGTAGATAAAGAAACACATATCAAAAGGCTCATATATCAAAAGAACCAAACACAAAAAGAGCTCCATGGTAGTAATTAAGTTACACAAAATTTACATACAAAATCGAGTTGATACTTACATGGCTTTTTCTGCATTTCGGGCCTAAAAGGAGAGAGAAGGGAGGAAAAATAGCCATTTTTAAAATATCTTTTTTCTCCTTTGCTTTTAAGGCACAGTCACAAGCAAAATGCTTGGACTACTAAATAAATACAGTAACAAAAAAATACTGAAAGAGCACTCTCCTTCTCAGCAGCACTCCCACACCTTTCTTCCCTTTCTGGCATGCATCTCCTAAATTCTGAGGTTCCCCACGAGACTTGTAACCACGGGAGCAATAGGCAGTGGCAGCTCATCCATGGCTAACCCCTTGAACCTGACTCCAAGGCCCCTTTTCTCTGACATTCCAGTGAGCCAAAGCAGCCTAGGCTCATTTCTTTCCTATAACATTTCCAGAAAGCCAAAGCAGTCCTGCCTAGGCTCTTTAGGCTCTTTCCTGTTGCTTCTTCTGTCTTAAGCCCTGCCTTGTTTCACTGTCCCCAGCATTAATAAACATACTCTAAAAATAAATAGATATTAAAAGATTTCTAAATCCTGTAAATGTATGCTGCTCCCTCTACCTAAAATCTTTAATCCTCTGCTCCCCAACCCCTTGGATCTGGCTAACTCCTCCTATTCATCCTTCAAAACGTACCTTTGTTATCACCATCCCAGAAAATTCTTCCATGACCCCCTTCTTCCCAACTAAACTGCTATCCTTTGTCTGGGTATACCTACCATGGCACTTTCTATCCAGCATCACAACTGTCTATTACCTGGCTGTAGAACTGGAGGGATAAAAGACTTCCTTTTGCAAAGTGAGTTTTATGTAAGCACTGTCACACTAGTGTCAAGTAAATTATCCCTGAAACACAATGTCGGGCAGGGAACATATTTTCTGGGTATAAGCAGAAAGAGTTCTTGCTGAGACACGTAATTGAATTTTATTCCCAGCTCTTCCACTTACTATCCCTGAGAAGTGGTCTCTCTAAGACTATTTTACAACAGGGATCATACCTTTTATCTCATAGAGATGTCATGATGACTTGATGAGATAAATACATGAAGACATCAGTTATGCAGTTTATAGATACGCAGCAAAAGTGGTGGATAAATGAACACAATATCTAAAGATCACAAATATCTAAATGAACACAAATACTAAGGAATAAAATAGAGGCTCTCCAAGGGGAAGCCATCATCCTGAAGGATGAGGTTGTCTTGGCTATTTCATTAAAGCGTACAGTTCCTAAATATTTAATTCAGTGTTTCTCAATGCTTTCTCCATGCTTAAAACACCATGGTAGGTGCTAGGAATTCAGCCATAGTTCTTCCCATGGAACTCATAGAACTTCCTTCAAAACAATGAATCAATAAGTGATCAGTAATAAAGGCATGTACCCAGGGTGATTAACCCACAAATATGGAAGTGTGAGGAGACAGTAATATAAAATGCCCAACCACCCCTGTAGCCAGAAATATCCAGGCCTGAAGAGATTCCCAATGCCTGCCCAATGCCTGCCACAGGTCAGAAACGAAGAGCCTCAGGGCAGCATGAAACAGTAAAGTTGGGGTATATCCTCCTACAGAAAAGTCTGCTTCTAGTCAACTGGTTTCTCTCGTTCTTAGGTTCTCGTGCTCATCAATCTTCCAATCTGATCTTATATTGTAATTATTCTATAACCTTACTATGGTGTCCAGTGCTTCTTTTTTTTTTTTTTTTTTTTTTTTTTTGGTATGTGCTCCTATCGGGAACCGAACCGGGACTCTCTGGTCCGCAGGCCGACGCTCCAACCGCTGAGACAAACCGGCCAGATCGAGTGCTTCTTACAGGGGCCTAACTTAATGAAAATATTATTATAACCAACACATATGAGCATCATTTTTGAACCAGCACTATATGTATGCTCATATTTACCCGTCGTGGACACTTCTTGAATGAATGAAGAAGTCAACCAACCACGCCAGATCAGAAATCACGCCCTCATGCAATGACACTATGACATTCATTCGTACACAGTGTTGGACATTAAAGAAGCAATGGTGAAAAGACCCTACCTCAGGAAGTTTGTACCTTGCGGGGAAGAACAGATATAAATTAAATAACCCAGAAACATACGGTCACAATCACTGTGAGACTTGGGGACTAACAATCCGGCCAACGGCAGGCACCATGATTCGGAGCCGGTCCTTGTGCAACTGTTCCTTAGTTTCCCCTATCGGTAACATAAAGCGCTTGGTCTAGATTAAACCACTGGGAGATGGTGGCTCTCGAGATTCCGGTTTCCTCCTCCAACCTCTGGCAGCCAAAGAGAGGCAAGAAAAGAATTCCCAAGCTACAGCCTAGGAGCCTGAGGCCCGCAGTAATGCCGGCTGGGCTCCAGCCCTATGACGAGGGCCTCATATGGGGCTGGGGATCCCTCACCGCGCGCCCGCTCGCCCCCACCCTACTCACCATCGTGCAAGTTAGGGGCCACCCTCGGACCGCGTGGCCAGAGAACTTTCCAGCCTCAAGGAAGGCCAACACTGACGGGAACTGAAGATTCTAACTGACCGAACCACCGATTTTTGTGTCACAACGGAAAAGGGAGGGGGGGAGACCGGAAGTAAAACTGAGACTTGGCCCCGGAACAGGGAGGAAATGCAGGTTCGCTCTCAAAGGCAGCCTTCCCTTGACGTCTGGACGTCGCACCAACGCGTAAGGGTGGGGGCGTTGACAAACTTGCGCTTGCGTGCTGGGACATGCATTTGTTCAAATCGGCCCTGGGCAGCTGGTTTTACTCTCGCGATAACTGCGGAATTTGACGCAGTAACTGTTGGTACCGCGGTAGTCCCTGGTAATTGTCGGAATGTGTGGAATTTTAGTTGCTAATGTAGATACGCATTCCACCGGCTCTTTCGAGAGCTGTCTTCTTCACCCCAACGAATGGCCTGAATTCTTAAACTACTGGGGCAGGTTTCAGATTTGCCAAACATACTGAGAGGTATTCTCAGGTGGCACACAATGTGGTGGCACTATAGGAAGTTTTTTTTTTGTTTTTTTTTATCATCCTCACCCGAGGACATCTTTCCATTCTTTGTTCAGATAGAGTGGGAGGGAGAGAGAGGAACAGAGGGAGAGAGAAACATCGATGTGAAAGGGACACATCAAGTGGTCGCCACCCGCACAACCAACCAGGGCAGGGGACAAACTGCAACCGAGGTACGTGCCCTTAGCGGGAACCGAACCCGGGTCTCTCCGGACCACAGGCCGACGCGGTAACCGCTGAGCCAAACCGGCCAGAGCTAGGAAGTTTGAATAAAAATAAAAGCTACTGTTTAATAGTCAATTAAGTGCTAGGCCATTAACAATGTCTCATGTAATCCATAATGATCCTGCAAGATAAAAAGTCTTTTTTTTTTCTTTTCTTTCACTTAACAGATAAAACTAGAGCTTAAAACTACTCAGCTCCAAATCTAAGCCAACAACTGATTTTGAGCTGAGATTCCAATGAGTTCTGACACCACAGCCCAGGCTTTGATGCTAAAACCGGAAGGATTTTGGAGGCCCACATGCAACAGTACCAACAGACCTTGGGGGAGAAAATGACAAATTACTTGGCCAAGTTTTAGAAGTTACATACTTTAATTCCCGAGATCTTCTACCCTAGGCTTGCCTTTTCTTTTTATTTTATTGGGGGGGGGGGGGCATGCCCCTATCGGGAACTGAACCTGGGACTCTCTGGTCCGCAGGCCGACGCTCCAACCGCTAAGCCAAATCAGCCAGGGCTATTTTTTTTTAATTTTTTAATTTTTTTTTTTTTATTAATTTATATTTGTTACAGCTGTTTCTCCTATTTTTCCCCATTGACACCCTCCTCCCCACCCCCCCACCATCCCCAGCTTTGTTGTCCATGTCCATTGGTTATGCGTACCTGCATATAAATTCTGTGGTTTAGATCTTCCCTCCCCCTCACCCCTTCTTCTGAGAGTTGTTAGTCTGTCCCTACTTCCACGTCTCTAGATCTACCCTGTTCCTCAAACTGTTATGTTCATTATATTCCACAAATAAGTGAGATCATATGATATTTCTTTCTCTGCTTGGCTTGTTTCGCTTAGGATAATACTCTCCAGGTCCCTCCATGTTGTCTCAAAGGATAAGAAATCTTTCATTCTTACAGCTGCATAGTACTCCATTGTGTATATGTACCACTGCTTTTTATCCACTCCTCTACTGATGGGCACTTGGGCTATTTCCAGATCTTAGCTATTGTAAATAGTGCTGCTATGAACATGGGGTACATATATTCTTTCTGATTGGTATTTCAGGCTTCTTAGGGTATATTCCTACAAGTGGAATCACTAGGTCAAATGGCAGTTCAATTTTTAATTTTTTAAGGTAACACCATAGTGTTTTCCATAGTGGCTGCATCAATCTGCATTTCCACCAGCAGTGTACTGGAGTTCTCTTTACTCCACACCCTCGCCAACACTAGTTGTTTGATGATTTGTTGATGTTGGCCATTTTGACAGGTGTGAGGTGATACCTCATTGTTGTTTTAATTTGCATCTCTCTGCTGATTAGCGAGGTTGAGCATTTCTTCATATGTCTCTTGGCCATTTGTATGTCCTGTTTGGGGAGGTGTCTATTTAGCTCCTCTGCATTATTTTTATTTTTAAAGAAACTATTTTACTTGTTTTTATCCTCACCCGAGGATATTTTTGCATTTATCTTCATTCAGATAGAACAGGAGGGAGAGAGGGAGAAAGAGAGAGAGAGAAACAATATGAAACAATACTACAAGATGCAATATGCCAAATACAGGTACTTGGGAATTCAATTTTTTTTTTTTTCACAATAAAAACTGGGAACTCTTAAAGATTTAAGAGACATATAAGACATTACAAAGTACATTGTATGCAGAGCATTTGGGTTCTGATTGAAACAAACCAATTGGAATAAAATATTTTTGCATCAACTGAAGAAAATTAAACACAAGACCAAGTTTTTTACTAAGTATATAATGAGTCCAATAAACACAATTTTTTACCTTAAAAAAGTTTTTCATGTTACTAAATAATCATTAATCTTGTAAATTGCAGTGAAATTCATTGTATCATTATAGCTTCTGTTTCTTTAAGACTTTTCATAATAAAATATTTAAAAAGTTAAAATGAGTGCTGGCCAGTGAGTAGCAGGTTTGATTCTGGCCAAGGGCATGTACCTCAGTTGCAGTTTGTCCCCGGCCCTGGTGGGGTCATGCGGGCAACCAGCCTATGTGTCCCTCTCACATAGATGTTTCTCTCTCTCTCTCTCCCTTTCTCTACCTCTCTCCCCCTTCCACTCTGTCTGAAAAGAAATAGAAAAATATCTTCAGGTGATGATTTTTTTAAAAAGTTAAAATGAAATCAAATGGTAAATCATGTTTCCTCCATTCACTACCACTTACTGTTTTGCAAATATTCCAATTCCAAGGCATATTTTGGTTGATCCATCTGAATCAGAAACCTAGTTAATGAAGCGAATTTTTAAAAAGTCAGTATCTACTTGGCAGTTAGGATAATTCTGAAAGTTAGCATGAAAACCACTAGAGTGAATAGACTCTCTTCCACCCACAACAGAGAAGAAGAAAATGTTTCAAAGTCAGTGGCAAGTTCTTCTTTCTGTTCTCAGTGCCAAGTTCTAGCTTCTGCTCTCAGGTTTTCTGTTTAAAAAACAGAAAAACAAAAATCTTGCCTCTGAATTTTGTCCACTTCAGAAAAAAGGGTCCTGTGATTGCAAACTGACCTCTGCCATACCTGTTCAGGTTCACTGTGTTAAAACAATCACCCAAAATATTGGACAAGCAAATGGTCACAAATTAGAGACAAGTCTAACCTCATCTGTGTTAGACCATACCATTCACACAAATATAGATTCTGACTTTTCAAAATTAAAAACACCACCTGGATGAAATGCCCATTCTTCTAAAAAGGGTTATGCCTAAATCAGCAAATCTTTTCCTAACCTCAACCTATTCTTTTTTTTTATTTAATTATTTTATTTTTATTTATTTTGTGTGTGTGTGTGATATGTGCCCCTAGCGGGAACCGAACCCGGGGCTCTCTGGTCCACAGGTAGACGCTCAACCGCTGAGCCAAACTGGCCAGGGTTCAACCTATTTTATCATTTGTTAATTAAAGGTTCCTAAGGCCTCCAGTGACCATTTAAGGCTGCCTAGTCAATAGTAACACCAAATACTAAGAAACCTCCTTAGTTCACGTACCTAACACATGAATCTCTGTGGCTTGATCCAGGAAGTATAAATTTAGTAGGCAGAATGACTGGAGTCACACATTCTCCATTTGGGGAACCGCCCTGTTCCATCCACATGCCTCTACTTTAAGTGAAGGCCTCATTTTGATCCTTGCTCTAATGACTATCATAATTGGGGGCACAAGTGGGCAAGCTAACTGCAATTAAGAATATTTAAACCAAACCTAAGAAAACACATGTAGATCAGTTGGTTAGAGCATTGCCCTGATACTTCAACATTGTAGTTTAATCTCTGGTCAGGACACATACAAGAAGCAATCAATGAATGCATAAATAAATGGAACAAACAAATGTCTCTCTCCCTCCCCACTGCTTTCTCTTCCTTCTTTTTTTTTCTTATTTATTTTTGTATCCTCACCCGAGGACATTTTTCCATTTTTTTGATCAGACAGAGTGGGAGGAAGAGAGAGAGAGAGAGAAAATGAGAGAGAGAGAGAGAGAGAGAGAGAGAGAGAGAGAGAGAGAGAGAAACATCCACGTGAAAGGGACACACTGAGTGGCTGCCACCTGCATGACCAACCAGGGCCGGGGACAAACTGCAACCAAGGTACGCGCCCTTAGCAGGAACTGAACCTGGGTCTCTCTGGACTGCAAACTGACGCTCTAACCGCTGAGCCAAACTGCCAGGGCTCTTCTTTTTTTTAATTTTTCTTTATTGATTTTAGAGAGAGGAAGAAAGAGGGAGATAGAAACATCGATGAGAGAGAACATCAATTGGCTGCCTCCTGCATGCCCCCCAGTGGGGATCAAACCCACAACCCAGGCATGTGCCCTGATCAGGAACTTAACCTGCAACTTCTTGATGTATGGGACCTCTTGGTACATGGGGCAACACTCAACCAAATGAGCCACACTGGATGGGTTTCCCTTGGGTTTAAAAAAAATTTTTTTAAGAGAGAGAGGAAGGGCCCAGCCTGTGTGGCTGAGTGGTTGAGCATTGACCCATGCACCAAGAGGTCATTGGTTCGATTCTCGGTTAGGGCACATGCCCAGGTTGTAGGCTCGATCCCCAGTAAGGGATATGCAGGAGGTGGCCAACTAATATTCTCTCTCATCGATGTTTCTATCTCTCTCTTCCTCTCCTTCCTCTCTCTAAAATCAATAAAAATATTAAAAAAAAATAAAACCCTAAGGAAAAAGGATGGTTACTCTATGAAGCAGAGCCATGAGATGGGATTACAGTATTACAAGGGCAGGTAGTTGTGCTTATGAAAGAAGTCCATCTCAAGGGAGTGGGAAAATTCTTACTGAGAAGTCAATGAATTAATTACCTCTCTGTCTGCCACCAAATTATTTTTGCCTAAACTTGGTCACTTAGCAATGTTCTGTGGGGGAGAAAAAAGCAGTCAGGTTCTAGCCTCTGGTTTGTGGGTCATACTGCAAAGTATCTTCAATGAAAAATGCAATGCTAAATATGAAAAACCACAATAGCAGGGAGAAAAATGACTAAGAAATATCAGTACTACTCAGTGGAATTGCCCTGGTCTCCTCAGGCCCATTTAGGAAAGTATATATGTTTTCACGTGAAAGAGATGAAATAGAAGTATGAAGAAAAAGTTTGTTATTTTTAAGAAACCAATCCCATCATCCTTGCCATCACATATGTATCAGCTATCTTAGGAGACAGGTTTAATACCACAGCTTGCTATCAAAATACTAAAAAAGTACAAACAGTTAAATTCCTTGTCAAGGTTTCCAGTGGCACCGAAGATGGATACATGGACCAAGTCATGTTTTGTTTTGTTTTCTAGATGAAAACATTTATTTTTTTGTATTACAAAAGCAAAAAGAAAGCCAAGCAAGTAATGAAATAAACATTTTTCATATGTTCCATCCTGGATTATGTGTCCTAGAATTTAGTAACAGTTCAACTTTAGGTTGCTTCAATACTTCTTCTGGATACTATGAGGTCTCCATCTTGTAGCCATGTTTCTCCAGTTCAGCTCGTAACTGATTGGAGAAGTCATCTTCTACCTTGTCATCATCCCAATTACCCTCCCAGACATGTGCATCTTCATCTTCGTCTAAACCAGTCCAGTCTTCTGCAGGGAACTCCTCGAACTCGTCGTCCTCCTCCAGGAGACCTAAGTCTACCGGTTGCTTTTTCTGACATCCCGACCCTCTGAGCCAAAACCCTATCAGGACAGGAGGAAAGTTGGAGGTACTCTCCCTCAAACAAATCTGCCACCACCACCGCCACCGCAGCCTCCCTCAAGGCATGTTTAATGAATGCTCTCTCAATTCTAAGGCAAGCCAAAAAGAATAATTAGTCTGGCGGATGTGGCTCAGTGGTTTAGCATCGACCCACGAACCAAGAGGTTGCCAGTTCGATTCCCGGTCAGGACCTATGCCCAGGTTGTGGGCCCAATCCCCAGTGGGAAGCATGCAGGAGGCAGCCAGTTGATGTTCTCTCTCATTGTTTCTCTCTCTCTCCAAAATAAATAAAGGAAAAAGAAATTTTCAAAAAAGGATGATTACATGTAAATCACTTGCAATTAAGAGCATAAGCAGCCCTGCCAGTGTGGCTCAGTGGATTGAACGTTGTCCCAGGGACTGAGAGATCCTGGTTTGATTCCTGGTCAGGGCACAAGCTGAGCTAGCTGGCTCAATCCCCAGTGGAGGGCGTGCAAGAGGCATCCAATCAATGTTTCTATTTCTCTCTCCCTTCCTCTCTCTAAAAAATCAATAATATATATATATATATATATATATATCCTCACCCGAGGACATTTTTTTAATTTTTTGTTCAGATACATTGGGAGGGAGAGGAAGAGAGAGAAAAAACATCGATGTGAAAGGGACACATTGAGTGGCTGCCACCTGGCAGCACCAACCAACTAGGGCCAGGGACAAACTGCAACCGAGGTACATGCCCTTAGCAGGAACTGATCCTGGGTCTCTCTGGACCGCAGGCCCACGCTCTAACCACTGAGCCAAATCGGCCAGGGCTAAAAATATATATATATATTTTTAAAAAGAGCATAAGCCGTAGAGTTGTTCTCAAGTTCCAACTTTACCACAGTTATGGCCTTGGTTACTTATCCTAATAGTTTTCAATCTAGTGGCACCCTAGAATAATCTGGAATCATAAAATACCGATGCTCAGAATCTACCCTGACAAACTCAAGCCAAATACCTGCATCTCTAATTCTAGCAAAGTTACTAATACCTATTCTATAAGACTATTGGTATACTTTATGCTTTTTTTTTTCTTCAAATACAAATGAAAACGTATTTAGAAAGTCACATAGGAAGAAAAAAGGAGCCAGCTGGGCTGCATGGGCTCAGGAAACAAGTTACAGAGGCAAAAAAAAGGGCCCTTGGAGCTCAGAAGAGAGAGAGAGCAGAGGTATGCCCTTTGACAGAAGAGGGGGAAAGGTGTGTGTGTGTACTCCAGAGGGGGAAAGAGAGTGCGCTAGGATTTATGCTTTTAAACTGCTTAAGTAGTTATATGTTTAAGGCTCACAATAGCAGCCACTATTACTTTGGGTTACACAGAGCAAATGGAATGCATTGCAAAAACAATGTGCTCGAAATCTTTGAGAGAACCTGTGAATTTACCATTTTTTAAATCATGGAGGGTTATGTTAGACTATCACACCAAATACTAGTATTATAAGACAAACAAATTCAAAACAGGGAGTAAGAAAGAGATAGTGGTAGCACCCTCTGTCTCTCTCCAGAGCATGTCTGTGCCTTCTTTCTCAGGAGAGTACTTTTAGTGTCTTTCTCCAAAGTTCCAAGGGCCTTTTTTTTTTTTTTTTTGCTTCTGCAACTTGTTTCCTGAAAATACACAGCTCAGCTGGCTCACTTCTTCTACCTCTGTGACATTGTACATAAACTTCTGGCATTAGAAAAAAAAAAGTGCTAAAAGACAAATATACTCTAAAAACTTTGGACACCCCAGCCCTGGCTGGTTTGGTTCAAGCGGTTAGAGCATCACACCGTGGACCAGAGGCCCGGGTTCAGCTAAGGGCATGTACCTCGGTTGCAGATCACCCCTGGCCCTGGTTGGGGTCATGCAGGTGGCAGCCAGTCGATGTGTCTCTCTCAAACCGATGTTTCTTTCTTCCTTCCTCTCTCCCTCCTGCTTTATCTTTTTTTTATCTTTATTGTTGAATGTATTACAGATGTTCCTCATTTCCCCCCATTCACCCCCTCCTCCCCCTTCCTACCCCCCCTCCTGCCTTTTCCCACACTGTTGTCTACGTCCATTGGTTATGCATATAAGTTCTTTAGTTTATTTCTTTCCATCCCCGAACCCTTTCCCTTTGAGGTTTGTCAGTCTAGCACCCAATTCATTCTTCTTAATCCCTTTACCTTTTTCACCCATTTCCCCAACACCCTCCTATCTGGCAACCAACACAATGTTCTCTGTATCTATGAGAATGTTTCTGTTCTGCCTGTTCATTTTGTTTGTAGATTCCATTGCCGATAGATGTGTATTCATTGCCATTTTGTTTGTTCATATATTTTATCTTTTTCTCCAAAAAGACCTTTCAACATTTCATATAATAATGGTTTAGTGGTGATGAACTCCTTTACCTTTTTCTTGTCTGGAAAAACTCTTTATATGGCCACCGATTCTGAATGACAGCTTTGCAGGATACAGTTATCTTGGTTGTAGGTTCTTGCTTTTCATCACTCTGAATATTTCTTGCCACTCCCTTCTGGCCTGCAAAGTTTCTCTTGAGAAATCAGCCGACAGTCTTATGGGAACTCCCTTGTAGGTAACTAACTGCTTTTCTCTTGCTTTTAAGATTCTCTTTGGCTTGAACCTTTTGCATTTTGATGATGATGATATGTCTTGGTGCGGGCCTCTTGGGGTTCATCTTGTTTGGGACTCTCTGTGCTTCCTGGACTTGTATGACTGTTTCCTTCACCAAGTTAGGAAAGTTTTCTGCCATTATTGTTTCAAATAGGTTTTCGATTTCTTGTTCTCTCTCTTCTCCTTTTGGCACCCCCAAGATGCAAATGTTGGTATGCTTGAAGTTGTCCCAGAGGCTCCTTACACTATACTTATTTTTTTTTATTCTTTTTTTCTTTTTGCTGTTCTGATTGGGTGTTTTTTGCTTCCTTGTATTCCAAATCGATGGTTTGCTTCTTGGCTTTACCTACTCTACTATTGAATCTGTGTAAATTATTCATTTCAGTTAGTGCTTCCATCATTTCTGGCTGGTCCTTTTTAATGCTCTTGAGGCCCTCACTAAGTTCATTGAGCATCCTTATAAGCAGTATTTTGAATTCAGCATCTGTTAGGTTGCTTATCTCCATTTTGCTTAGTTCTTTTCCTAGAGATTTGTTCTGTTCTTTCATTTGGGACCTGTTTCTTTGTCTCCTCATTTTGGCTGCCTCCCTGTGTTTGTTTCAGTGTATTACTTAATGAGAGGTATGGGGCTCGCTGAGACCAGATGCTGCTCATTTGAAAGAATTTAGGAAAAACCTGAAGCAGGATCCAAGACCAGCCAATCCTATGGTTAAGCAAGTGGCAACAGCTTGGGTGGGCCTGAAAGTTGGGTGGGGCAGGGCCTCAGGAAAGCACCAGGGTGGGGCAAACAGTGCGAGCCAGGTTGCTGGATTCCCAGATATGGAGGCTGTCTGCTGCCCTAGGGAAGGGCTCACCAAAGGAACAAAGGCCTCTGACAGCACGTTTGTCCTGAAGAAAGCCCCGTCTCCAGCCCTTGCTCCAATGCCAAACAGCTCAGGTCTTCCCTGTATGTCTCTGGCGCCCCTCGAGATGCCTCCCCTCCAAGCTTAGAGGGAGCAAGTCCGATAAGTCTATGTGCAGGCCCTTTAAGAGGAGCTGCCTGGGGCTCCAGTCACGTCAGCCTCCCTGAGCCTCAGTTCCAGCTGATTTTTCCAGCCTAAGCTTCGGAGACTTCTCTTTCTGGCACTGGAACCCTGAGCAGGGTGCCTGGTGTGGGACATGAACCCCGTAGTCCTCAGGGAGGACCTTCCCAGCCGAGGTGTCCTCCTGATTTTTATCTGCCACACGGTGTGCGACCAGCCCATCCCCCTCCACCCCTCCTACCAGTCTTGATGTGGCTGCTTCTTTAATTCTGCAGTTGTAGGACTTCCACTCAGCTCGATTTCAGGCAGTTTTGAATGATGATTGTTGTGTAGTTTAGTTGTAACTTTGATGTGGTTGTGGGAGGATGCGATACCACTTTTACCTACATCGCCATCTTGACCGGAAGTCCCCTTCCACTTTCTCTTAAGATAAATGAAGAAAAAAAGTCCTCGGGTGAGGATAAAAAAAATAAAATCAAGATTAAAAATAAATTTTTTATATACTTTGAACGTTCTTACATCAACGTACTTGGCATTGCACAGAAGTCTGAAGAAGCCCATTCAGGAGCATTTTGTGGAACCAGACCCAATGCTCAATACCAGCAAGGGCCTCTTGTGCTTCACTGGCCTCCTGTTCTGCATTGAGTAAACTTGGGTGCGTCTCTCTTGGTATTCTCGCCCTCATTGCTTTAAGTAGCAGGTCCATGACTTTTTTTGAGTTGTTCCTGAATAGCCAATAGGGTGGAAAGGTTTTAAGATCCCTGAAACCGGAGTGGCAGAGATGGGTGCTGAGAGTTGTCCAGTGCGGTAACATAGTTGATCCTGATCCCAAAGCTGACAGGAATCTTGGAGAGGGGCAGGAAACCCTGGAATGGGTCCATCCTGAGGGGCCCTGCCTTAGAAAGTGTCAGTATCCGAAGCATCTGGCAAGCTCTTACTGACCCTTGCTCAGGTATTCCCAGGTGACTAAGAATCTCTGTGGGATTGCCTAAGGACATATTTCCTCTATGACATAAATAGTCACATAGGAATATCCACTGCATTTGGCTCGTTTGGGACATACAAGGGCTAGTTTTTCATGGAAGTTTGTTCAGAATATACATATCTCAAAATTAACATGGGAAATCATGCTTAAAAAAAAATTTGTTTTTACTTTATTAATTTTAGACAGAAGTGAGAGGGAGAGAGAAACATTGAGAACATCAATTGCCCCCTGCATGCCCCCTACTGGGGATTTGGCCCACAACCTGGGCAAGTGCCCTGACTGGAAATCGAGCCACTGACCTCTTGGTGCGTGGGTCAACGCTCAACCACTGAGCTACACTGGCCGGGCAGAAATCATCCTTTGGAAATCAACAAGCCCCATGACTGTCAGCTTCTCATAAATACTAAGATAGCTGAAATGAGGATACTTGATACTTCTAAATTCACTTTTGTGTGCACAATTAGAAAAAAGAATAAAAAAAACTATAAAATAAGCATAATGAGTGGAAAACACTTAAAATTTTTCCTTTATTAATTTTAGAGAGAGAAAGTGAGAGGAAGAGATAGATAGATCAATGAGAGAAAACATCAGTTGGCCCCCTCCTGCATTCCCCACACTGGGGATCGGGACCACAACCAGGGCATGTGTCCTGACTGGGAATCGAACAAGCGACCTCTTGGTGCATGGCTTGACGCTCAACCTCTGAGCCACACTGGCCAGACAAGAATGGAAAACATTTTTAATTGGTCTCCCAGAGCTTTGAAGAGGGTTTAGGTAAATAGATCAACCTATGATGTCGTTTAATTCTTCTTTGAAGCATAAAAAATGGCTGGTCTTATTTTAAAAAAGGGAAGGTGAGCCCTGGCTAGTTAGAGTCAGTAGAGTGTTGGCCTATGGATTGAAGGGTTTCAGGTTGGATCCCTGGACCCGGTCGGGGTCATGTGGGAGGCAACCAATTGATGATTCCCTTTTTCTCTCCCTCCCTTTCACTCTATCTAAAAAAAAAAAATCAATCGAAAAACATCCTCAGATAAGGATTAACATAAAAATAATAAGAAGGGAGAGGTCATTTGGATCCTGACTTGTGAAGAACACATATAAATCATAAAATGCCTCCGGGGCAAAATTTGAATCCAATTGTTCTGTTATAGTGTTTTTCTCATGGCTAAAAGGTCTATGTCAGTGTGCGTGCACGCATGTGGGTGTATATATATATATGTTGTAAACGTCTTCTACCTCCAAATGGTATTAACATTTAAAGGGGAGCACTTGTAAGAATTGGCTAGTCTAATATTCTCAGAAATATAGAAATTAACTCAAATATTTTTCAAGTTTACATGATCTAAGATTAATCCTTAGTTAAATAAAAGCTACTTTGTTTCTGGTTTAAGTAAGAGACCTGTATTTATTTTGCAAAAACAAGTTCGTATTAAAAACTGACTTTCTGCCCTGGCCGGTTTGGCTCAGCGGTTGGAGCGTTGGCCTGCGGTCTGGAGAGACCCGGGTTCGGTTCCCGCTAAGGGCACGTACTTCGGTTGCAGTTTGTCCCCGACCCTGGTTGGTCGTGCGGTGGCAGCCACTCGATGTGTCCCTTTCACATCGATGTTTCTCTCTCTATCTCTTCCTCTCTCTCCCTCCCACTCTATCTGTACAAAAAATGGAAAAATGTCCTCGGGTGAGGATAAAAAAAAAAAAAAAAAAAACTGACTTTCTTTGTCTACAATAAATGTTCTATAAAATGTCCTGGTCGGTACACTCAATGGTTAGAGCACTGACCCATGCATCGAAGGGTCACAGGATTGATTCCAGGTCAAAGGCAGGTACCTGGGTTGCAGTTTCCATTCCCAGCCCCAATTGGGGCGCGTATAGGAGACAACTAATCAATGTGTCTTTCTAACCTCCATGCTTCTCTCTCCCTACACCTTACACAGAGAAAATCAATGTAGCCCGGTACAGTTTGGCTCAGCGGTTGGAGCATTGGCCTGAGGACCAGAGTCCCGAGTTCGGTTCCAGGTAGGGGCATGTAACAAAGAAATAAATTAAATAAATGTGAAAAATAACCTTGGGTGAATACTAACAACAAAAATGTCCTAAAGAATGCTAATTGTTTACTTCTTAGTTTTCGCTAGACATTAAGGTTTTAAGGTTAAAAATCTCAAAATAGCCCTGGCCGGTTTGGCTCAGCGGTTAGAGCGTCCGCCTGCGGTACAGAGAGACCCGGGTTCGGTTCCCACTAGGGGCATGTGCCTCGGTTGCAGTTTGTCCCCGGCCTTGGTTGGTCGTGCGGGTGGCAGCCACTCGATGTGTCCCTTCACAACGATGTTTCTTTCTCTCTCTCTTCCTCTCTCTCCCTCCTGCTCTATCTGAACAAAAAATGGAAAAATGTCCTCAGGTGAGGATAAAAAAAAAAAACAAAAAAAAAAATCTCAAAATAGATTCTATCCTGGAATCGAAAATGGCGGCAGGCAGGACCAGAGGGAGGATGAGTGTGTGAGAGAGTGAGCGAGTGTGTGAGAGAGTGAGAGTGGACTTGAAGGTGAACGACCAAACCCAAGAAGTGCAGTGCCACGAAGCAGAAAGTTCCTGTGCTCTGGATGGGAGCAGCTGGCTATCTCGCTAAGTGGACCTTTAGGTCGCTTCTCGCTGTGCCAAAGGGAGGTCACACGATTTTGTAAGATCCTGGGTCTTCCCTAGGAGGAGGCACTGGAGCGGCTAGGGCCCAGCAACCTGGGCCCACCAGCACACATGGCACCATCAGACCGGTGAACACTCTGTGTCAACACAGACCGGTGCACAGTAGTAGAGCTCCCAACGTGCTGGTCGCTGAAGCCACAGACAGCCTGGAACCCAGCACTATCCCCCATAGTAGCAGCAAGAGAGGCTGGGGAGCAGACATCCATCCCCAGGCAACAGAAGCACAGACCAGAGCTGAAAACCATCCCCAAAAACTACAGCAAAAGCTGAGCAGCAGTTGAGCCCAACGGGGCAGCAGCACTTCCCAGCTGCCAGCAGCGGGACCTGGGACTCCACAGAGGCCTGTGCGGACCAATAGCCCACAGGAGCACTGGGAAGCCCGGGCCCGAGAGAGTGGTGGGATCCAGCTGCCCACCCTTAGGATCTGCAGGGGGTGGGGCACCAGAGAGGCCTGTACAACCCAGTAGGGACTGTGCAATCCAGTTACCCACGAGACTTGTGGGATCCTGAAACACCAGAGAGGCCTGTGCAACCCAGCAGGGACTGAGATCTAGTTACCCACGTGACCTGCAGGGTGCAGAAACACCAGAGAGGCCTGTGAGACCCAGCAGAGATTGTGTGATCTCGATACCCGCAGGACCTGTGGGGTGCTGAAGCACCAGAGTGGCCTGCACAACCCATAGGCATAGAGCCAGATCACCAAAGGGACTGTACAATCTAGTTACCCGCGGGACCTGCAGGGTGCAGAGGCACCAGGAAGGCCTGTGCGACCCAGCTATGTAGTATACAGGATGTAAAAATAAAGGTTGAGTGAATAGAAGCCACAGAGATGATCTCCCAGGACCAAACAGGAATTACAACTAAAATAAAGACAAATCCTCGGAAAAAAGCAACAGAAAAGCAACAGTACAGGACCATATAACCAGGGACACCGGTAAAATCTGCGGAGGTGTGAGAGGGTGGCGGACTGGGAGCCCATGGACTACAGCAGTGTTAGCTGTGAGCAGCACCCTTGGCAAATAAAGACCAAGACCACTCCACAGGGCAGAGAGCCGGGAAAGAACGCTAAAATAGCCACAGCCACCCACCTGGGGGCAACGGCAGACGGAGGGCAGACTGGGCTGGAACTCTATAGGGACACCCAGGATTAGGAGGGCAGTCAGAGCTTTAGCTGAGTTACGGCCTCAAAGGACAATGACCAGTGTGCTCCTTCCCCAAGCTGTGGCGAAAACCAGCAACTCTCCTGCCTCAGAGATACAGCCTTTCCCAGGTGAGGCAAAGAAATGCAAATTGAGGCCCATTAATAACCACCCTCTGGAAATCCTCTTATGCAGAACACTGAGGCTACATTCCAAGGCACTGAGTAACTGAGAATACTAGACACCAGGAAAAAGCTACAGGATAATTGAACCTTTCCTGGGCTTGCAAATCTACCCAGAAAAGGAAGACTTGACAGTGGTGTTTAACGTGGGTCCTCCCCCTAACTAATCCAAACCCAGTAGAGGAAGTCACAAACAGAACACCAACACACACAGGGAAAATTTGGCAGGTTCCAAAACGCACTGAGATAGCCAAAATGGTGAAACAAAGAAACAAATCCCAAACGAAAGAACAAGAGACCTCTACCAAATATGAGATAAATGAAATGCAGTTAAACAAGTTAATAGAGCTAGAATTCAGAGCCACAATCTTGAGGAAGCTCTACGGCATGAGTAAGGACATGAGCACCATGAGTAAAGACATAGAAACATTGAAAAATCAACCAATTAGAAATTAAACATCACTGAGAAAAAATGAAGAATGACATAGCAGAAATAAAGAACACAGTGGAAGGACTAACCAGCAGAGTAAAGGAAGCTGAGGACCAGATAGATCAGTGAATTAGAAGACAAGGTAGAAAAAAATCAACCAATCAGAAAACCAAAAAGAAAAAACAATTAAAAAACAGAAAGACAGCTTAAGAGAACTATGGAAAAAATGGAAACATAATTAACATTCCCATCTAGGAGTCCCCAAAGAGGAAGAAA